AATGTGGTTTTAAAGAATTTGCAATGCTATTTGTAAATTTAAAATGAAAGCACAAAAACCCTTTACTATTACATGATTGAGATTTAATATCAATTGTTCATTTTTTTATTTTTTTAAATTTTTTTTTAGATGCAAACACCAGTCACTCCTGCAGATTATCGGTTAGGATGATTTGAATTGTGTGAGTGTAGCACCTTGTAGCCTCCACAGGTTAGACCAGCATTTCTTTTGGCAAGGACACATTTCATTCTTAGGAAGAAGGAGCGCTCCATCTCGTATTCTGTGAAAACACGTAAAAACATTAATGTTATTCATGACGTGCACTGCAGTATACATGACATAGAGTCTTCATCATTTTTGCCTGCTTGTCACCTTGTACATAATGTGAGTGGTAAGGCTGATGTGCTGTAAGGACCGCTGTCATCTCGTCATGGTCAGCTGGATGAATGTATTCATAAATGCTGTTGCCTGTCAACTCTACCTGTTGAAGTCAACATTCAGCTCAAAACTGGGTAATGACAGAACAATACAATACCTCATTAGGCTTGTCAAACCCACCTGTGACAGACCCAAGTGCACTGAGGCTGTTTCTGAAATGTACATGATCTTCCCATCTGGTGCAACCACAAAAATGAAGCCATCTAATGTCTGAAACAAACAATAAAAAGTAATTTTACCATAGGCAAAAAACTCATTTAGAAAAAAAAATCTAATGAACTGCTTTTTAAATAAACTGTAAGTATGTAATCTTGTTCAAGTTTACAGAGCAGCTGTCAAAGCAGAATGATACATAGCTGCATAATAGCATACATATGAATGTGTAAACAACAAAAGTTCAGTTAAAAATAAACAATAATAAATCCCAACAAACAATGTCTTTCTATTTTGTAAATCACATATTTCACCTCTAAATAATGTTTCATCATTGTTTCAACATTCAATACTCTGGAACTATACTTGTAATAAGGTCCCTTCACAAAATCACAAAAAAAAAAAATAATAAAAAAGAAAAAATAAAAAACCAGGACAATAATCCTACAATGGAACCTGTGTTAGTAAGGATGTGACAACTTGACCAAACAAAATTAAATGTATCACAGTTACATTTCAAGTGAAAAAACTGTCAGTTCAATGCTAACCAAAGGTATACAAGTTAATAGCAAAACTTGTTATTTTTATTTATTTTAAAATTTAGCAACAGAACATGCTGTATATTTGATTTGATCCAGTCAGAGGGGCTGTAGGACTATTAGGAAGGAGAATCAGTGTTGTGGAAATATTTATTTAACAAAGAACAGAAACAGATTATTCAAAGAATAAAGGCACTTCATAGTATGGTTATCTGAGTTTGTTTATTGCTATTGTCAAAATCTGTGCTAACCCCTGCTCCATCATGGAAGTTAGAAGGCCTCCTATAAATACTGTTTTACAAACAGCAAGATTTTATTCAAAGGCCTTGCTGGGTCAAAGGTAAACACAGAGATAAATACAAGTGATATCTACGAGTGACTGCTGGTGGCAAGTCTTGTTCTGGCTATAATCATTCTATCTATGATTAACAGTGCTTTTAAAAACTGGGTTAATAAAGTATGTCATGAATTACTGGCTTAAAACAAAATGTATTTTTCCATTCCTCCATCTGATCATTATAAATTATCAATATTATATATTCAAATAATTATGCCACCACTAAACTATATGTACTTTTCTAAAACCCCAACTCCTGTAAATACATTTTTTTACTCTGCCCACAGAGCAATAAAATCATTTACCCTCTAGAGCAGGGCTATTCAACTAAATTGCTCCGGGGGCCACAGGTCAACAGCTCAGGGGCCGGACATCCAGCAATTAAAGTCATTATGTAAATAAATCAAGTATTACAAAGATCTGTTACCTTTGAAATAGTTTATTTTGCTGCATTTTACAATGAATACAACATGCAGAACCCTATAAAAGTAGTAATAATTAAACAATATCAAAAACAAAAAGAACACGTTATGCCTCCTTTTTGACAAAAATATTATTTTGACATCTCTGACTTGCCAAACTTTTAAACCAATTTTATTTTCACTTTCATGGTTTTATCTTCAACTGCTTGTAATTTTAACTGTCTTGAGTGTGCATGGAAATGGTTTTTACCAGCTTCTAGCCAAGATTCTGACGTTTCTGTAGATACCAAACATGTCTATGTTTACCTAAAAGAACTTAGAGTAATTAAATTAGAAAACTGGGGGCTTAAGAGATGAATGAACCAATTGGCAGGCCGAACTTTGGTTACTCATTGGCCAAATGTGGCCCGCAGGCTGCCAGTTGAATAGCCCTGCTCTAGAGGCTGGTTCAGTGCCGGGGGATGGCTGAAGATGAGGGTTACGAAGATTTAGGCATGGTGTGAGTTGGATTCTGATCTTGCCAAGTTCTTCCAGGAGGGGGCATTTTACTTGTCCTGTAGTTGACCTACATATTGCTGGAATACCAGAATCAGAATCAGAATCAGAATCAGAATACTTTAATGATCCCCGGTGGGAAATTGCAATTATTACAGCTGCGACCATTCAAATAAGCATTAGAGATAAAGAATAAAGGAAGAAATATTAGAGCACACAAGGAAGAAATACGCATAAAAACTCTGGAGAACCAAATGAACACAGACAACAATGAGCGTTCTTTATACAGTGTAAATATAAATTACATCAGTGATCAAAGGAAAAAAAAAATTGCATAGGTCCTCTGGACGGGTTCTTCTTTAATGAAACGTTTCGTCTCTCTTCCAAGAGACTTCTTCAGTCTGAGAGTTTCAGGCAAAATTCAGGCTTTTATGTCCTCCCTCCAGGTGACTGATACTCACATCACATGACCATCGTTCACAGGTGACATCAGTGATATACTCTGAAACTAAAAACAGTATGACTGATGTAAAGGTCCCATCAGATATCATTAGATGATATAAGAATAGGTGATTTTAGTGATATTGCACATGTTAGATCAAGGTATCGTAGATAAATAAAGTACACAGGTGTATTAAAGTGACAAATGACTTATGGTTTCACATGTTTCAGGCGGAGTTTGATGGCCACTGGTAGGAACGACCTCCTGTGGCGCTCAGTGGTGCATTTAGGGGCAATGAGTCTTGCACTGAATGTGCATCTGTGACTCGGATGACAACTGTTGTCCATGATTCCCTGCAGCTTTGCCAGCATCCTCCTCTCAGACACTGCAGTCAGAGAGTTCAGCTCTACTCCCACAACATCTCCAGCCTTTCAGATCAGCTTGTTGAGGCTGTTGGTGTCAGCCCCCCCCCCCCCCCCCCCAAGTCTGCTGTCTCAGCATGCCACAGCGTAGAGGAAGGCACTCACCACCATAGACTCAAAGAAGATCCTGAGCGTTATCCGAGAGATGTTGAAGGACTTCAGACGTCTCAGAAAGTAGAGATGACTTTGGCTCTTTCTGTAGACGGCGTCTGTGTTTTTTACCCAGTCCAGTTTATTGTCAATATGTACCCCCAAATATTTATAGTCTTCCCCTATTGTCCAGTGTGAGGACAGGGCCGCTGATGACCAAATTCATCTTGAGGTTCTGGACTTTGCTCAGCAAATGAATTAAATCTTTTTTCAAGTTTTCTTACTGTCATCTTCTGATGTCACCTCCTCCTGCGTGGATGACAAGCTTTTTCAAAGATGGGTACTCAGCTGTGTCTTCCAGTATCTTCACTGTGAGATCAGACACCATATTATCAGCAAAATTAAGAAACTTGGCTTTTTTCTTGCTCCAGTAGTATTTAATCTCACCCACAGCTCCATCAGCAACTATCAGCGTTCCTTGGTTTGTGACAGCAGTTTCTTTCCAAACTTGCTTTGGTTTAGGGCTGAATCCAGTGTCAGACCTTTTGCTGTTGTCTGAAAATAAGATATCCTCTGAGTCACAGGTTTGTAAAAGTGGAGCAAATATGTTTTGCAGTGAAATTCATGAATTTCCCACTGATCTGCTTTTGTCATTTATTTTGGTAACTCTGTTGTTTTCTTTTCAGTGTTGGGGTAGAAAAGATATTCCTCTGCTGCAGTGGCCTGTCTGATTTGTCTAAATGCAATGTTCTTTCTGTCAGACATGTCTGGTAAAAAGTAGCAGATTAAATTTTTTTTCTTTGCACCAACAGTGGTCAAGGAAAGATTTTTTTCCAGTTCACTCCCATTTTATTCACATTGTATTTGTTCAAAACAGTTTTTTCTCTCTTTTATATTATTGGCAGAGTCAGCTCCATGTACAGCATTCATCTCGTCAAACCGATGAATCTTCATTTCCAGTACTGCTATTTTCTGCAGAATTTTGCTGATGTCCTCTGTGGTGAAGGGAGGCATTTTGAAAGCTTGTTCTTCAGTAGTTAAAATTATTAAGTTATCAGAGTTCTCTTGTACCACTTGTTGCTGCTTGTTTGATGGCAGTCAAAACAAAAATCTACTTTTTTCTTCTTTCTCCAATCAGGGTGGTGGTCACCAGTGTCTGTTGTTATGAAGGTTCATTTGATTCAGCTGTAGTTGGAGTCCCGAGCCGTCCTTGCTCACTCATACCAATCCGCCTGCGAGGTGGTCTCGGACAATCGAGCTCTGAATGGATACTGTTCGTGACGCCAAGTTCTTGTGGAAATATTTATTCAACAAAGAACAGAAATATGTGATTAAAAAGAATAATGGCACTTCTTATAATGGTTGTCTGAGTTTTATTGCAATAAACAAGAACACTGAAATTAATACAGAGCCATCAGGCTGTCTATCAAAATATGTGCTCTTCCTTAAGGCCATCAGGACCTCCCATAAATACTATTTAACAACCAGCCTGATTTCATCTTAAGGGCCTTGCTGGGTCAATGGAAAAAGATTTACATACAAGTGATATAAACTGGGTGCCATAAAAACTTGGTCATTAAAGTATATCATTAATTACTGGCTTAAAACACACACACACACACACACACACACACATATATAT